AATACGAGGGTTGAATAAAAAGTAATGCCTCCACCTACGTAACTCCTCAACAGATGGCAGTACGGGTATGCAGCAGGTACTGGCTTGTTCAGTAGACTCTCCTCTACAGTTCCATTTTGGTGGGAAGCCTTCACATTGAGCAGTTGTGTTGTTAAAGTGCAAAGTATGGGACCCTGCGCAGATGGTCAGTCAATGCAACTTAAGCAATGCACAGTCATTGAATTCTTGACAGCAGAAGGTGTCACGTCAACATCTTTAAACTTATTCGCCCAACGACACACAGTACTCACATCAGCACAATCACCATAAACCGCTTGCATTCCCTGATGGATCTCCTTTGGGGTGACACCTTCTTCTTGGACCGCGAGACCGCAAGAAGATCCAACCAGTCCATACTTCAGGAAATAAAGCCTGACTGCTCATTGGAGGGAAGGGTAGCAGAGGCCAAGATGAAGTACTTTGGCCACATCATGAGAAGAAAGGAAAGCTTAGAGAAGACAATGATGCTGGGGAAAATGGAAGGAAAAAGGAAGAGGGGCTGACCAAGGGCAAGATGGATGGATGGTATCCTTGAAGTGACTGGATTGACCCTGAAGGAGCTGGGGGTGGTGATGGCTGACAGGGAGCTCTGGCGTGGGCTGGTCCATGAGGTCACGAAGAGTCAGAAGCGATTGAACAAATAAACAACAACCCTCTGATATAACCTTTATTCTGTCTATATACTGCCCTCTTGTGGTTACATCTGAGCACTGTATACACACTCATTTTGTTTTTTTGGGGGGACCCTACCCACAAATGAGGTAGATCCTTTATGAAGCCCTGCCAGTATTTTAACGTGGATTATGAAGGCTATGTGTATCAATTTTGGTCCAGATCCATCATGTCATGCATGAGTCTTTGTGGAACATACATATGTACAGATATACATGCATTGACTTAAATCAGTGGTTCTCAACCTGGGGTCCCCAGATGTTTTTGGCCTTCAACTCCAGAAACCTAACAGCTGCTAAACTGGCTGGGATTTCTGGGAATTGTAGGCCAAAAACATCTGGGTTCCCCAGGTTGAGAACCACTATTTATTTATCGTGTCATCCGCAACCAGAACATTGTATTATATTTCTAACAGAACAAAACAAACAAACAGATAAAAAAACAAAAAACCCCCAAATTTTGCAAACTTGGTAGCTGATTAAATGTCCTTTGACCAGTATCTGGCCACTTGGAGTGCCTCTGGTGTTGCTGCAAGAAGGTCCTCCATTGTGCATGTGGCAGGGCTCAGGTTGCATTGCAGCAGGTGGTCAGTGGTTTGCTCTTCTCCACACTCGCATGTCGTGGATTCCACTTTGTAGCCCCATTTCTTAAGATTGGCTCTGCATCTCGTGGTGCCAGAGCGCAGTCTGTTCAACGCCTTCCAAGTCGCCCAGTCTTCTGTGTGCCCAGGGAGGAGTCTCTCATCTGGTATCACCCACGGATTGAGGTGCTGGGTTTGAGCCTGCCACTTTTGGACTCTCGCTTGCTGAGGTGTTCCAGCGAGTGTCTCTGTAGATCTAAGAAAACTATTTCTTGATTTAAGTCGTTGGCGTTGGGGGACATGAGAGAAGCCTCCTCGCAGGATTGCAAGACATCCGGGCATCCCCTGGGCAACGTCTTCATAGAAGGCTGATTCTCTCACTCCAGAAGCAACCAGAAGCGACTTGCAGCATGCAAACAAGCTAAAGAGGTATCAAAATGTATTAATTCAACAGTGTAGATGCATCCTCCATTTCCTTGCTGATCTTCCATTTCTTTGCTGATCTTCCATTTCCTTGCTGATTATATTATTTTATTAAAAATTAAATAATCTGTGTATGTAAAGTTTTTCTATAGTTAATCAATGATGGGGACTAAATCAACATTGCTGTGACCCAGTCAAAGATTTAAGGAGCCATGAATGTGTGCAGTTTATCTTGAAATTACCATCCTGCTTGATGCCCAAAATAAACTTCCGCCTTTCGTTCATAATTTCATAAATCCATTCATGTTTGAGATATTACTTCTCCCCCCTCCACCACCCACACTGCTGGGACATTCATATTTTCTGCTTTATAGGAAATCAACTCAGTAAAAAATGTTTTTGAAGCGATTCCAGGGAACGGTCAATGATTACCAAGAAAAAAATAAGCTGTTAATATTTCAGCCGGAAACCTTTCATCTTACCTTCCCAAAGGCCAGGCGGCACAGACTGATTAAGAAGGGAGATTTCACAAATAAACCCAAACAAGATTATACTTTAAGAAATAACTGATACAGAGCTTTCTTTTGTTGGATTCCGGATTCATCTGATAATCGGTCTGAAAGTGTTGGGGTCAAATGCCAAAGGAAATGCATCGAGAACCTGAGTCATTTGACTCAATCTTCAAAGGCGGAGAGGTGAGCAATAAGGAATACAGGTATACTTTAGTTAGCAATGACACTATGTTCCTGGCTTCTATTTCTTGAAACAGAAACGTTGGAGTAGAAATGCAGAAATAACATGGGATGAATACAGACAGACTCATACGTAATGCATCAACATTTTCCCCAAAAGTAATATTATCTAAGTCAGTGGTTCTCAAACCTCTGAGGATGCTTGCCATAGATGCAGGCAAAACGTCAGGAGAAAATGCCTCTAGAACATGGCCATATAGCCCGGAAAAACCTACAACAACCTCTGAGGATGCTTGCCATAGATGCAGGCGAAACATCAGGAGAAAATGCTTCTAAAACATGGCTGTACAACCCAAAAAACCTACAACAAACCTCTGAGGATGCTTGCCAAAGATGCAGGCGAAACATCAGGAGAGAATGCTTCTAGAACACGGCCATATAGCCCAGAAAAACCTACAACAACCTAGTGACTCCGGCCATGAAAGCCTTCGACAATCCACTGGGTTAGCTTTCTCCAGAAAATTTATTTTGGGGGTCTTTTTGGACTTACCCAAAACTAGCCAGAAATTTTAGGGATTTGTAGATTTTTCACTCTTCCCTTACTTTATATGTGTGGTCGATTTTCGAGAGAAGGGGTATCATAGAATAATATAATATTAGAGTTGGAAGAGACTTCAATAGAGATCCAGTCCAACCCCATTCTGCCAAGAAGCAGGAAAATTGCATTCAAAACACCCCTGACAGATGGCCATCCAGCCCCTGTTTCAAAGCCTCCAAAGATGGAGCCTCCAACCCCATTCTGCCAAGAAACAGGAAAATGTATTAAAAACACCCCTGACAGATGGCCATCCAGCCCCTGTTTCAAAGCCTCCAAAGAAGGAGCCCCCAACTTCATTCTTCCAAGAAGTAGGAAAATTGCATTCAATCCACCCCTGACAGATGGCCATCCAGCCTCTGTTTCAAAGCCTTCCAAGGAGGAGCCTCCAACTCCATTCTTCCAAGAAGTAGGAAAATCACATTCAAAACGCCCGACAGATAGCCATCCAGCCTCTGTTTCAAAGCCTCCAAAGAAGGAGCCTCCAAGCCCATTCTGCCAAGAAGCAGGAAAATCGCATTCAAAACACCCCTGACAGATGGCCATCCAGCCCCTGTTTCAAAGCCTCCAAAGTAGCCTCCAATCCCATTCTTCCAAGAAGCAGGAAAATCTCATTCACAATGCCCCCGACAGATAGCCATCCTGCCTCTGCTTAAAATATGTTGTCTGTGTATGTTGCGTGTCTGTGGCATTGAATGTTTGCCATGCATATGCGTGGTGAGAAGGGCAGAATATAAATACTGTAAATAATAAATAAATAAATAAATGCCTCCAAAAATGACCCTCCAACCCCGTTCTTCCAAGAATATCCCCGACAGATGGCCATCCAGCCTCTGTTTCAAAACCTCCCAAAAAATGAGCCTCCAACCCCATTCTTCCAAGAAGCAGGAAAATCACCTTCAAAGCACCCCCAACAAATGGCCATCCAGTCTCTGCTTAAAAGCCTCCAAAGAAGGAGCCTCTGCCACACTCCAGAGCAGAGAGTTCCACTGCTGAACAGCTCTCTCTTACAGTTACTAAGTTCTTCCTCATATTCAAATAAAACAAACAAACAAACAAAAAGTGGGTGCTAGAAACAATATCATACGAAAGCTGACCGGCACAACCTGGGGATCACAACCAGATACAGTGAAGACATCTGCCTTGCGCTATGCTACTCTGCTGCTGAGTATGCATGCCCAGTGTGGAACACATCTCACCACACTAAAACAGTGGATGTGGCTCTTAATGAGACATGCCGCATTATCACAGGGTGTCTACGCCCTACACCACTGGAGAAATTACACTGCTTAGCCGGTATTGCACCACCTGACATCCGCCGGGAAGTTGCAGCCAATAGTGAAAGGACCAAGCCTATCATACACTCACAGCCTCAGAAGGATAAAGTGGTGGGGTCTTTTTTTCTGGAGGCTTTTGAGCAAAGTCTGGATGGCTATCTGTTGGGAGTGCTTTCAATGTGTGTTCCTACATGACAGGGGGCTGGACTGGATGGCCCTTGGGGTCTTTTCCATCTCTCCAATTCTATACTATAAGCTTTTAAACAGAGGCTGGATGGCCATCTGTCAGGGGAGATTTGAATGCAATATTCCTGCTTCTTGGCAGAATGGGGTTGGACTGGATGGCCCAGGAGGTCTCTTCCAACTCTTTGATTCTATGATTCAATGCCTTCACTGTGGGAGAAGATGCTGGTCAAGAATAGGGCTCCACAGCCACCTACAAACCCACAAAAATAGTCATCAAGGAAGACCATCTTATTCGTCCAACGAGGGATCGCCTAAGTAAAGTAAGTCTATGATTCTATACTTCTAGGAAGAAAACTGGTTAAGAAAACCTTGGGAGACAGTCCACTTGAAGAAGGCACGCCTGGCGCACCAAACATCCTGCCCTCTGCTGTTAATCTTGATATATGTCTTGGCAGGAAGGAATGCGAGGGAGGGGTTGGGCTTCACTTGGGGAGGGGGGGACTCCAAGGGGGGGGAGGACTGGAGGCATGATCCCTTGGCAAATATGTGCCTTTTTAGGGTTCTTTTGTTGCCTCTTCCTTCCCCCTCCGAATAGATCAAACAGGTGATCCGTCTGTTGGGAAGCAGCAAAAGGCTGGCTGGGGTGTTTGCCTCCCTCTCCCTTCCCTCTCTCTTTTTGTTATGCTAATACAGGCTGACATCACTGCTCACATCAAAGCCCGGAGGAGAACATATAAGCAGGTTGGAAAGGGAAGCGGGGGAAACAGCCAGAAAGCAGTTTTACAGCTGCTCCGCTTAGACCGGCGCTCAAAAGAAGAGCTGAGACTCCGTGCGTAAAAGCGCACCATTGCGCATCTCGCTCTTTTCCCTCCCTTGTTTCCCTCCTCATCCTCACCCTCCTCCCCTTTGATTCCCTCGCTGTGTGGGCTTCTCTCCTCTCCGTTGACTCCATCACCCGACCTTCTCACTTTGAAAAATCACTTAATTTTGCTTTTGACGGTCAGAGGACAATGTTTGCTTTGGAGAGGTCTCTTCCAACCAGCTCTCCAGTTTTGAGGCTTTGGGGAAGAAAGAAGACTTTCTAAAAACGAAAAGGACTCCTGAACAAATAGATATATTTCTCTAAAAATACTAGGAAGAGGATTTGGAGGACAAACCCAAGTTCTGTCTGCTGCAAGGTAAGATCTGGCTGATATCTTTTCTTCTCCTTGTTGCTAAGAAATGAAGATACTTGCATGTATTTGAGATTCTTTGTAATTTCTGCTGGTTGAATGATTGCAAACCTGCAAAACTTTAAAGGGAGGGAGAGGTGTATTTCGAGCAATCCACTGGGTTAGTGGGTTGTTGTAGGTTTTTCCGGGCTATATGGCCATGTTCTAGAGGCATTTTCTCCTGACGTTTCGCCTGCAGCTATGGCAAGCATCCTCAGAGGTAGTGAGGTCTGCTTGCCATAGATGCAGGCGAAACGTCAGGAGAAAATGCCCCTAGAACATGGCCATATAGCCCGAAAAAACCTACAACAACCTGAGGATGCTTGCCATAGATGCAGGTGAAACGTCAGGAAAAAATGCCTCTAGAACATGGCCATATAGCCCAGAAAAACCTACAACCTCTGAGGATGCTTGCCATAGATGCAGGCGAAACATCAGGAGAAAATGCCTCTAGAACATGGCCATATAGCCCCCAAAAACCTACAACAACCTCTGAGGATGCTTGCCATAGATGCAGGCAAAACGTCAGGAGAAAATGCCTCTAGAACATGGCCATATAGCCCGGAAAAACCTACAACAACCTAGTGACTCCGGCCATGAAAGCCTTCGACAATCCACTGGGTTAGCTTTCTCCAGAAAATTTATTTTGGGGGTCTTTCTGGACTTACCCAAAATTAGCCAGAAATTTTAGGAATTTGTAGATTTTTCACTCTTCCCTTACTTTATATGTGTGGTTGATTTTCGAGATCATAGAATAATATAATATTAGAGTTGGAAGAGACTTCATGGAGAGCCAGTCCAGCCCCATTCTGTCAAGAAGCAGGGAAATCACATTCAAAACACCCCTAATAGATAGCCATCCAGCCCCTGTTTCAAAGCCTCCAAAGAAGGAGCCTCCAACCCCATTCTGCCAAGAAACAGGAAAATTGTATTAAAAACACCCCTGACAGATGGCCATCCAGCCCCTGTTTCAAAACCTCCAAATCATAGAATCATAGGATCAAAGAGTTGGAAGAGACCTCCTGGGCCATCCAGTCCAACCCCATTCTGCCAAGAAGCAGGAAAATGCATTCAAAGCACCCCCGACAGATGGCCATCCAGCTTCTGTTTAAAAGCTTCCAAAGAAGGAGCCTCCACCACACTCCAGGGCAGAGAGTTCCACTGCTGAACGGCTCTCACAGTCAGGAAGTTCTTCCTCATGTTCAGATGCAATCTCCATTCTTGTAGTTTGTAGATTTTTCACTTTTCCCTTACTTTATATGTGTTGTCGATTTTCGAGATCATAGAATAATATAATATTAGAGTTGGAAGAGACTTCATGGGAGATCCAGTCGAACCCCATTCTGCCAAGAAGCAGGAAAATTGCATTCAAAACACCCCTGACAGATGGGCATCCAGCCTCTGTTTTAAAATCTCCAAAGAAGGAGCCTCCAACTTCATTCTTCCAAGAAGTAGGAAAATCACATTCAAACCACTCCTGACAGATAGCCATCCAGCCTCTCTTTCAAAGCCTCCAAAGAAGGAGCCTCCAACCCCATTCTTCCAAGAAGCTGGAAAATTGCATTCAAAATGCCCCCGACAGATAGCCCATCCAGCCTCTGCTTAAAGTATGTTGTCTATATATGTTGTGTGTCTTTGGCATTGAATGTTTGCCATGTATATGTGGATTGTGATCCACCCTGAGTCCCCTGCGGGGTGAGAAGGGCAGAATATAAATACTGTAAATAATAAATAAATAAATAAATGCCTCCAAAAATGACCCTCCAACCCCGTTCTTCCAAGAATGTCCCCGACAGATGGCCATCCAGCCTCTGTTTCAAAACCTCCAAAAAAAATGAGCTTCAAACCCAATTCTTCCAAGAAGCAGGAAAATCACCTTCAAAGTACTCCTGACAGATGAACATCCAGCCTCTGCTTAAAAGCCTCCAAAGAAGGAGCCTCCACCACACTCTGGAGCAGAGAATTCCACTGCTGAACATTTCCCTCTTACAATTAGGAAGTTCTTCCTAATGTTCAGATGGAATCTCCTTTCCCGTAGTTTGAAGCCATTGTTCTGCATCCTAGTGTCCAGGGCAGCAGAAAACAAGCTTGCTCCCTCCTCCCTATGATATTGATAGGACGAAGCTGGAGAGAGAAAGGGAGGACCAGCAAGAATGTAACTTGAAGGAATTATTAGTTTTAAGAATTACTTTTAGAGGGAATTATTAGTGTTAGGACTCCAGGGGGCACAGTGGGTTAAACCACTGAACTACTGAACTTACTGACCGAAAGGTTGGTGGTTCAAATCCAAGGAGCAAAGTGAGCTCCTGCTGTTAGACCCAGCTTCTGCCAACCTAGAAGTTCAAACATGAGTAGATCAATAGGTATGAATACCGCTCTGGTAGGAAGGTAATGGCGTTCCATATAGTTATGCTGTCCACATGACCTTGGAGGTGCCTAAGGACAACACCGGCTCTTTAGCTTAGAAATGGAGATGAGCACCACACCCCAAAGTCAGACATGAGAAGGCTTAATGTCCCTTTCTAACCCAGTGTTTCCAACTCTAATTGGCAGCAATGCCCCAAGCTTTCAGGTAGGATCCTTTTCTGCGCTTCCAGTCGTGGGAAATGCTGAAGCTTGAACCAAGAAGCTTCACCTAAGGAACAAAGATGGTTTAAAGAGACCTTTCTAGCTCATTGTTAATGACTCTGACTGGCAGCCATGGTTCAGTTAAGATTTCAGGAGAAATTTCTTGTCTCATCACCTGAAGATGCTGAGGGCTAGGACTTAAATCCAAGAAATGTCGGAAGCTGTTTGAAAGTGAATCCATCCAATTGACCCTTCCAGCTTAGTGTTGCTGGTTCTAACTAGCAACCACACCTTGGGTTGCTATGATTTTTCCGGGCTGTATAGCCATGTTCCAGAAGCATTTTCTCCTGGTGTTCACCCACATCTATGGCAGACATCTTCAGAGGTTGTGAGGTTGCCTGCCATAGATGTATGCAAAACATCAGGACAAAACGCTTCTGGAACATGGCCATACAGTCAGGAAAACTCACAGAAACCCATTGATTCTGGCAATGAAAGCCTTCAACAACCACACCTTGGTCAAGGTTTCTGAGTAGATCAACACTAAAGAATTCATACACTCTGACACCACTTTAAATGCTATGGTTTAATGCTATGGGACCTTGGAAATTGCAGTCAGCCGAGCCACCAAAAATCCCTTAGCAGAGAAGGCTAAAGACCTAATGAAACTCCATCACCTAGGTTTCCATACCATTGAGCCATGCTGGTTAGTGGTGTCAAACCACATTAATTCTACAGTGTAGATGCACCCTTGTACATGTAGGCTCATGAAGAGATATTGAGTGTTGGACTCAAGACCTTTTGCACCAAGATTTTGAAATGAGCCCAATGGTGGTCCATTTAGGACAATGTTTTCCACTCTGACTATCAGTGACAGGATTTCAGGCAAGACTTTTTCCCTTGCTCTGCTTGGGGGTCTAAATAAAAGTGAATGCTCGTGTATTTGGGGGAGAGATTGGGAGAGCTGCAAAATTTAGCCTTTAAGTGTATTGGGAGAGGCTGCGAATACCGGAAAAGTCTCCATTACATACCTATATAATATTATCTTAGAGGACGGCACCTTAAAAAAAGGACAAAGTGACAGAATGTGGTTCCAGTGGCAGAAACAACTTTGCTACCCAATAGGAAGATAAAATTATCTGATGATGCTAAAGCAGTGTTTCTCAACCTGGGGGTCGGGACCCCTGAGGGGGTCGCGAGGGGGTGTCAGAGGGGTCGCCAAAGACCATCAGAAAACACAATATTTTCTGATGGTCATGGGGATTCCATGTGGGAAGTTTGAGCCAATTCTATCGTTGGTGGAGTTCAGAATGTTCTTTGATTGTAATGAACTATAAATCCCAGCAACTACAACTCCCAAATGTCAAGATCTATTTTCCCCAGACTCCACCAGTGTTCACATTTGGGCATATTGAGTATTTGTGCCAAGTTTGGTCCAGATCAACCATCATGAGTCCACAGTGCTCTATGGAGATAGGTGAACTACAACTCCCAAACTCAAGGTCAATGCCCATCAAACCCTTCCAGGGTTTTCCATTGGTCATGGGAGCCAAGTTTGGTTCAAATCCATTGCTGGTGGAGTTAAGAAGGCTCTTTGATTATAAGTGAACTATAAATCTCAGCAACTACAACTCCCAAATTACAAAATCAATCCCCAACCCCACTAGCATTCACATTTGGGTGTATTGGGTATTTGTGCCCAGTTTGGTCCAGTGAATGAAAATGCATCCTGCATATCAGATATTTACATTATGATTTATAACAGTAGTAAAATGACTGTTATGAAGTAGCAATGAAAACAATATTATGGTTGGGGGTCACCACAACATGAGGGACTGTATTAAGGGGTCACGGCATTAGGAAGGTTGAGAACCATTGTTCTAGAAAAAAGTAAGAACAAGGGAATGTAGACTTTGGGCAGCCAGGACATAGAGAAGAGAGTCATCTCCCTGTTGGGAAGGGTCCCAGCTTAGTCCAACTACCCAAAACACTAGAATGTCCCATTGTTGTGATGCATTTGTAACATGTTTGTAAAGGGCAAACACAATTTTCTTTCTGAGATCTACTTTGTAGCCCTCTGAAGTCAGGGAATCTTTAGGGCGCCTCTACACTAGGAATGGGCAAACTTTGGCCCTCTGGGTGTTTTGGACTTCAATTTCAAAAAAAAAAATTCCAAAAAAAAAAGATTTTAACTTAGAATTATAACATATGGGATAGGACAGAGCTTTCCAAACTCTGGAGCAGTGGGTTAAACCACTGAGCTGCTGAACTTGCTGACTGAAAGGGCAGTGGTTTTAATCCAGGCAGCGGGGTAAGCTCCCGCTGTTAGCCCCAGCTCCTGCCATCCTAGCAGTTCAAAAACATGCAAATGTGGGTAACTCAATAGGTATCGCTTTGGC